CAGCAGTGTCAGCTGTGGCAAAGACCAAGTCGTCGACATACACGAGGATCTAGAACGGCGGCAAAGAAGTGTCGGTGCGCAGAAACACCGACGGGTCGGCAGTAGAGGGAGCAAACCCAAGAGCCGCAAGTGTAGTCCTCAGTGTGTCGTGCCACTCACGCGGTGCTTGGCGGAGACCGTAGACTGGCCGCTGGAGGCTCCACTGGGTGCCAGGAGGAAAAGACCCAATGAAGCCAGGTGGGCGACGCAGCCAGATCTCCTCGTGCAGTCTGCCCTGCAAGAAAGCAGTGCTGAAGTCAAGAGAGTGCAGCTCGTAGTCGCGGTGAGCAGCTACGTGCAGCAGTACCCGAAGAGTGGTCATCTTCGGGGTGGGAGAGAAGGTCTGAAAGTAGTCAACTCCCTGCCGCTGACTGAAGCCACGAGCCACGTAACGCGCCTTGAAGACAGGCGGAGAACCCGGCGGCCGCTTCACCCTGAAAATCCACATGCCACTGACGATGTTCGCCCCAGGCGGGGGAACCTCGTCAACGTAGGTGCCTGTGGACTTCCAAGAAGCCATCTCTGTGTCCATAGCTGCCTACCACTGAGAGGAGTAGGGACCCTCTATCGCCTCCGCGTAAGAGCGCGGAGTCGGGATGTCAAGTGCATCCGGGTCTCCCTCTGGGGTAAGCAGTACGGACACGAGATGAGGTGAAGCAGCAGCCAAACACTGGAACTCCTCCTGCCTGTCCTCAAGGACGTCCGTGCCAAGGGCACACTCACCCCCGACGGACGGAGGACAGACAGACTCAGACTCAGCGACAAGACTAGCAGCGTAGTCTAGACGACAGCGAGCAGCAAAGTCGACGAGCTCAGCAACTAGGGCAGACGCAGCAATGGACTCAAAGGAAGGGTCAGTGACGACAGTAGCAAGGAGACGCGTGACAGTAGGACTGGCAGCACGAAGAGAGTCCGACTCCGGGTCGGCAAGAGCAGGAAGAGAGGACTAAGGAAGAGAAGGCAAAGGGGCACGCAGAGGAGCAGTGGACGGACGCAGAGACATCCGGTGCGTGCCAGGGACAGGAGGAGGACGCTGACGCGAACCAGGACCACTAGTGCGAGCAGGACGGACAGGCGACGCAGGGCGAGACGCAGGCTCACGAAGCTCAGCAGGACCTCCAGTAGGACCAGTGTAGGGAGAAGGAGCAGGCAGTGGGGAGGCCGGCTGTAACTGTAACTGTGACGGGACAGGCTGTGGACACTCTAAGGGAGGAGGAGGACCAGTAGAAGGTGGGAGACCAAGAACCTGCTGAAGGAGCGGAACGAAGTACGGCCGAGGCCGCGCGACGACTCCAGACACAGCAGGGACAGCACCAGTACCCCCAGCAGCAGCACCAGCGCCAGCAGCACCTCCAGCTCCAGTACCTCCAGCAGCACCAGTAGCACCCCCAGCAGGACCGCCTCCAGGACCGACAGCAGTAGCCTCTGTGCCAACACCCTCAGCAGCTCCAGCTCCAGTCGTACCCGCAAGCCCAGTAGCTCCAGTAGTCCCAGTACGAGCACCTCCGGGACCCGCGGTACCAGCACCCTCAGCAGCCGAAGAACCTCCAGCTCCAGCAGCACGCCTCCAGCGCCGGGTAAACCACTCGCGCAGCTCCTGTAGAGAGAGTGGCTCCCGCCGAGACGAAGCACCCGGAGAACCTCCAGGCCCAGCACCGCGAGACGCCACACGAGCAGGCCCAGCTCCCTCAGGCTCCGCACCCCCAGGCTCAGCACCTCCAAGCGTAGCACCCCCAGGCTCAGCACCCCCAGGCTCAGCACCCCCAGTGGTAGCACCCCCAAGCTCAGCACCCCCAGGCTCGGCACCCCCAGTAGTAGCACCCTCAGGCTCAGCACCCCCAGGCGTAGCACCCACACGCTCAGCACCCCCAGAGTCAGCACCCCCAGGCTCAGCACCCTCAGCAGCACCAGAGTCACCAATATCCTCGACAGGCTCGACTGCGTCTACCTGGGACACACCTGAAGGGGCAGGACTCTGAGGGGGGAGGGGGTCTACCGGGGGGGGACTTGGCACAAGGAAGAGCGGTGGCGGAGGGAGGGACGGAGTGCGGTAGGGGAAGAGGCGGTAGTAGGGGACCGACTCGTCAAACGCGACGTCCTGGGAGGACAGAATACAACGAGAGGTGGGGTGGTAGAACTGCCACCCTGGCGCGTCAGGGGGGAAGCCAAGGAAGACGCAGGGAGTAGCACTAGGGGACAGCTTGTCCGCAGACAAGTTGCGGACAAACACCTGAGATCCCCAGACACGAAACGCAGACGCATCGCCAAGGCAGGTCGATTAGCTAGGTCGATTCATATTCCTCCGTACTCTTATTTATATCGCTGTACTTGCATGTTTTAATTCATCTCAAGCATTTTACATCCACTCTGCTATTGAGGTCAAGGGCCCACCTAATCTACCTATCTGCGTACGAACTTTCCCGATGAGATCTTGGCAGCGTTCATCTTTTGATCGTAGCACACCCGGTGTATGGTTATAAAAAATCTGTAAAACAAAAAAGCTTTGTGTATTCTCACAAGCTAATTTCCAGATATAATATGGGCTCACAAGTGTTTGTGGTGTGCTTGTAATTACATCTAGGGTTATATTGATGGCGGCTGTGTAATTCCATGGTTGAGACCTGCTGTGGCCCAACCCCACACACAAGATGCCCAACCCTTGCGTGCGAATTTGCCCTGGTCGCGATGGAAACTCTGCACCCGTGTATTAGTGTGCCAGCCAGTTGCACCCCATTTACAAGAACCTCGAGCAATACGAACCACAAAAACCGAAGTTTGACAGAAGAGACCAACGTCAAACGGTCAACAGAGAGTTACAAAAACTTTTAAAAGCCCTTTTTGCTAAGTGCGAATTGACGAAAATCTAGCGAAATGCAAGAATCACTTAAGAGCCCTCTTTACAAAGCAAATTTGGGCTAGTCAAACGGGCATTTTGTGTATATCGAGGAGGTACGAATCACGGTGATTGGTTTAGAGCTGTTTGACCCCAACATCAAGAAGGAGCGTCACGAGTCGCATGTCGCGATCTCTGGAATTTGTTGCCGCCGAATCCTCTTGGGCTTGGCGTGGAGGTGTCAAGAGCACTCGACACGACACTACACGACTGCCGTCGATCGGAGATGTACGGTCCGGATGTGTCAGATGGGTGACTGTACAGAAGGTGAAAGGGAGCCGACCAACCGACCTCCTTGGTTGTACCGCGTCGCATTTCATTAGAAAATGTGTCAGTGTGGGGGTGGGGTGGTGAGTGAGGTGATGCCATCTTCCCCCGCAACAGCCATAAGAAGCGAACTTCACAACCCTTTTCATCTGCCGAACAACTCCTCTTACCTGCGGGTATTCTGAGGAAACATCGGTAGCCCATCAATCAACTCAATTGCACTGAGTAGTTGATAGACATACGGGCCAACTCCTTCCACTGTGACCTGCTGTCGCAATGGGTTCATTCCGTCGACTGCCGCTCATAGTGCTTGCCGTGGTAGTCTCGTTCCTCTTCCACACGGCGACCTCGGACCTCCTGCTGCGACCGGAGCGCGTGCCTCGCGCGCAGTTCCGCATCCGCTGCAACTTCAGCCACGCGGCCCGCAATGACCCCATTGTTTTTCCCGGTCAGCCCGGAAAATCGCACCTGCACGATTTTCTAGGCAGCAAGAAGACAAATGCCTTCACCACCGATGGTGAGTAGTGCTACGGTTCACCAGTTCTTCTGTCTTTCTTTCTGATTCTTTTGTTTGTCTCGTTTTCCTTATTTTTAATCATGCAACATGCTTCCCGCTACGTTATGCGACAGGAACGAAGCTGGTGGGCGGTGCGACGACGTGCGGTCTGAAAGCGGACGCAGCGGCGTATTGGTTCCCGTCGGTATTCATGCGCACCAATCAGAAGGATGCCCAAGGCAAATACATCTACAAGCACGTAAGCTTAACGCAGTGTTTGTTTAGTTGCTCAAAGTCGCAGCGGTGTGCAGCTTTCCCGTCGTGTTTGTTTAGCTTTCATGCGCACAAAACAGAAAAATGCCAGCATGGAAAAACACCGCAAGTGCGTAAGCTCACCCCTCGCTGAAACATGGCGTGATCACATGGCGCTCCCTCTGCGGCGATTGCATGCTACATCGAAAAACAAGCGCCAAAACGAAGACGATCGCGTTGACGAATTTCTCTTTGCGGAAAGAGGAGTTCGCGCCCGGATCCGTGAGCAGGACGGATTCGAAGACACGCCGCTGTACAACTTGGGGTGGACTTGTGTGATCGCTGCATCAGCTCCACAAAATTCTACGCGCGCATGGCCTTATTGGCGATTAGGCGTTACGTGGTGACAGCGCTTGATTGCGCAATTGCCTTCAAGGTAGCGAGACGACTACTAACGGGGTACTTAATCTGCTTGATCCCCTCCCCCTATCCCCATGCGGTTTCCCCACGCGTGTGTACGCGCGGGTTCTCCCTCACCGCTTCCTCACACCCCCTCCCCCTCCCGCCTTCGTCATTTCCCCCCGTTTCCCTCTCTCTGCGCTCCACTTCAAGTTCCCTCTCCCCGCGTGCCGCAGTTAAAGCCATACTACCGCACGCTGTGAATGCTGAAACCTCACCAACTCCCCTTCCCCTTCCCCCTCTTTCCCCCCCCCCCCCCCCCCCCCCCCTCCCCTTCCCCTTCCCCCTCTCTCCCTCCCCCTCCCCTTCGCCATGCCTTCGTCACTCTCATGCGGCAGCTAAAGTCCATCTGGACGTTATTCTATTACCGCACGCCGTCCATCTTCCTTTCCCCCCCTCCCCTCTCCCCTTTCCCAACCCCGAGACCATCAAGCCCTTCCCGCCGCCCCTTCTCCCACTCCCCTTCCCCTTACGCCTCCTCTCCCCCCTCCTTCCCCACTTGCCCAACAGTTAAAGCCCAACTGGACGCTATTCTATTACCGCACGTCTGTCAAGAACCCTGAGACCATCAAGCCCTTCCCGCCTGGCTTCCGCATGCTCACCGGCAACCCGTCCGCGGGCAATGTGAGATTTGTTGTCGCTGTTGCCACTACTGTCACTGCTGCTGCACGCGAGCACAATCATGAGCACGAACGCTGCTGCTGGCTTCCGCATGCTCACTGGCAACCCCTCCGCCGGCAATGTGCGTTTTTTGCCACTCGTGCTACTACTGCTGCGGTGCGCGCGGCACGCACGCCAACGAATTTCCGCATCAGAAGTGCCCCGAAGAAGACCAGCTGATCGCGCCAAACCCCTCTGAACAACCCCGCCCTTCCCCATTCACCTCCCACCTTCTCCACCGCGCCCCACACACCCCAGAAGCAAGCCAACGATCTCGCGAACGTGGAGTGGTGGTGCGGTGCGCGCGGCACGCACTTCAACGACTTCCCCCACCAGAAGTGCCCCAAGGGGGACCAGCTGATTGCGAAAATCAACTTCCCGGTCTGCTGGGACGGCAAGAATATCGACAGCGCGGATCACCGAAGCCACGTGGTGCATATCCCGCTCAACACCACGTGTCCTTCGTCCCATCCCGTCCCGCTCCCGCGAATCAGCATCAAGGTTTATTACCCGGTCAGCCACGATTTGGATTTGACGTGGCCGAACGATGGGGTGAAGGGGAACCCTGCGGTGTATTTGTCAACGGTGCAGAGCGGTGGAACTGGTAGCCCGTATGAGTACCACAGCGATTTCATCAACGGGTGGGATCAGAAGGTGCTGACTCGCCTCGTTACAGACTGCATCAATAAGAATAAGAAGTGCCTGGTGCAGGAAGACAATGTGTAGGGAGAAGTGGCCTGATAGGAGTGTAGGGAGGAGTGGGCTGAAAGTTTTCTGTTTACAGACTGCGTACTTGTGGTTGCCTGTTCTCGTGCACCACAATCAAAAATAAATAGATGAGTTTTCCTGGAGAGTGTTAGAGCTGCCACTCATGAAAACATGTTCCAAATGGAGCCCATGAGAGCAGGCGCAGCTGCTGCGCTGTTTAGATTCCAGAAACTGGTAACAAGAGAAAAACTCATAAACAGAGTGGCTAGCAGCGTGAAAAGCGGCCTAGTACCGTAACACCTTATACTCATGAACAGTCAGTGTACAAATACTGGAGTCTCAGCTAAAAGCAAGCATGGTAAGTGGAAGAGGAACAATGTTGCTCGGATCAACAGGGAATTACAGCATTGCAACACCAAACCCTCCCATTCCCCGTTGACCAGAGCAACACCCCTACACTGCTATAGTGGTCTACACTTCCCCCACCCACCCCTCCTGTTTTTACACCCCTTTGAACCGCACATCACAGTGGCCAGCATTCAGCAGGTGCAGGGCTGCTGGACAGGCTGACAAGGCGAGCAGAGTTCTCAGCAACAGCAGGGGAGTTGTTATTGCGATGCCATTCCCAATGCGCCTCCCCTGCTGCTCTGCCACCTCTTCCCACCCTTTTACATCCCTTTGAACCACATATCACGCAGGCCGGCATTCAGCAGGAGTAGAGGCACTGGCAAGGCTGACTAGGCGAGCAGAGTCGGCAGCAACAGTGGGGGAATCGTCGTTTTTTTGCCACTCCCAGTCCGCTTCCCCTGCTGCACTGCCACCAATCTTGAAGAGAGCAAAGCCAAAGGCTGCTTCACGAAAGGCCGACCATGCAGGCTTGGGGGAGACGAAGCTGAGAGGAAGGAAGGGAGGGGTGGGGGGAAGGGAGGAGAGAGGAATTTGATTAGGGTGTTCATTTGATCTCGACATTGTTTTGAAATACATGATGCTGCAGGGTAGACTTCTCAACAGAGTAGAAATCTAAAAAAAGTGGAATTCTCAGAAGAGTAGAATTCTCAAAAGAGTAGAATTCTCAAAAAACACCCTGCAGCATCATTTGATCTCGACATTGTTTTGAAATACATGATGCTGCAGGGTAGACTTCTCAGCAGAGTAGAAATCTAAAAAAAGTGGAATTCTCAGAAGAGTAGAATTCTCAAAAGAGTAGAATTCTCAAAAAACACCCTGCAGGATCATTTGATCTCGACATTGTTTTGAAATACATCTGGCATACCCAGGATATGCTGCGGATATATTCAGTTATCAGAATACGATCCATTTGATGTCTCCCAGTACAGGTGGATTAATCAGGGTGCAGGGTGCAGGGTGCAGGTGCAGGGTGCAGGGTGCAGGTGCAGGGTGCAAGGTGCAGGGTGCAGGGTGCAGGGTGCAGGGTGCAGGGTGCAGGGTGCAGGTGCAGGTTCAAGGGCTGGTTTGTCCAGGTACAGCTGAAATACCTAGGGTATAGATCCTTCCCGCCACTTCCAACAGTGAGTCTGTTTTTTAGTCGATAGAAAAACTGACATACCTAGGGTATAGATCCTTTCCGCCGCTCCCAACGGTGATGTGCATGATCCCACAAGGGTCCTCCTGACCGTTGTACACACGGGTCTGAAGAGGTGGAGATGGGGGAGAAGGGATGAGAATGGAGGTGACTTAAGGGAAAGAATAGGCTGAACGTGGGGTGTGACGATGTGAGTGGTCCCACAGAAGCGTGGCAATATAATCAATCCGTTACAAGAATCGTTACAATGGACATTACAACAATCGTTACAACCCACCATGCGTTCGTCTCATCTACATGACCTTTGAGTTTTGAGGCGCCTCTAAAGTACATGACCGGTGATCAGCATGTCAAGGTGTAGAGCGAGTTTTTAGTGGACTAAAAAATCGTCAATATATCGAGCGAGTTTGGGGTTTGAAGCCGATAAAACAATCGTTACAACTCACCGTTCGTTCGTACGCATGCACGTGGCCGGTGATCAGAATGTCAACGCGGGCGGCATACAGCGTCTCTTCCAGGGCCTTCCTCATATCCTGTCCGTCTGTCTGATGATCGCTGTTGGAGTGGTACCAGGGCTCGTGCAGAGACACCACCAGCCAGGGTGTTTTGGTGCGATCCACGGCTGATAAGTCCTTCTGAAAATACGAGGGGAAGATTTGGAGGGGCAGAGATGGGTGCAGAGTGGTGAGCGTCTCGTTTAGGGGGCCTTCCGCATGTCCTGCCCGAATGTCTGGTGGTCGCTGTTAGAGTGGTACCAGGGCTCGTGCAGAGACACCACCAGCCAGGGTGTTCTCGAGTGATGACACTTGATAGGTCCTTCTGAGAATGGCGAGTATAGTGGGATACGGAGGGGTGCAGAGGGGTGAAAATGGTTATGTACGTGGTGGTCGCTTTGAAGTGGTACCAGGGCTCGTGCAGGGATACCACCAGGCAGGGTGTTCTGGTCCAATCCACGCTTGATAGGTCTCTCTGCAAGGGAAGGGATGAGGGGATGGGACGGAGGGACAAATATGGGTGCAGAGTGGTGAGAGTGGGTGTCTGGTGGTTGCTGTTAGATTGATACCAGGCTCGTTCAAAGATACCACGAGCCAGGGGGTTCTCGAGCGATCGACACTTGACAGGTCCTTCTGAAAAGTACGGTACGGAGGGACACAAATGGGTGCAGAGCGGTGAGACTGAGTGTTGTTGTGGTCGCTGTTGGAGTGGTAACAGGGCTCGTGCAGAGATACCACCAGGCAGGGTGTTCTGGACCGATCCAAGGTTGATAGATTCCTCTGCAGGGAAAGGTACGAAAAGCTATGGATGGGCGCAGAGCGATGAGAGTGGGAACGCATGTGGTGGTGGCACTTGGTTGGAGGAGTACAAACAGGGCTCGTGCAGAGATAACAACAGCCATCTCACCTGCAGCCATCTCACCTGCAGCCATCTCACCTGCAGCCATCTCACCTGCAGCCATCTCATCACCAGCCATCTCATCACCAGCCATCTCATCACCAGCCATCTCACCACCAGCCATCTCATCACCAGCCATCTCATCACCAGCCATCTCATCACCAGCCATCTCATCACCAGCCATCTCATCACCAGCCATCTAATCACCAGCCATCTCATCACCAGCCATCTCATCACCAGCCATCTCATCACCAGCCATCTCATCACCAGCCATCTCACCACCAGCCATCTCATCACCAGCCATCTCATCACCAGCCATCTCATCACCAGCCATCTCATCACCAGCCATCTCATCGCCAGCCATCTCATCACCAGCCATCTCATCACCAGCCATCTCATCACCAGCCATCTCACCACCAGCCATCTCATCACCAGCCATCTCATCACCAGCCATCTCATCACCAGCCATCTCACCACGAGCCATTTGCGCTGGTCAGAGCAGGAGAGCACGATGATATGCGCCCCTCCCACCTCAAACGAGTCGTACAGACAGCTCAGAAGGCGATTCAGTAGGCATTGCAGCCGTTTCTTTAGAAGTATCTCACCTGTAGCCATTCGAACTGCTTGGAGTCGGGACCGAATGGCGAGTAGCAGGAGAGCACGATGACATGCGCCCCACCTACTTCAAACGAGTAGTACAGCTTAGAAGGCGACCCGCTAGCAGCAGAAGGCATGACCCACCGCTTCTTATACGCCCGGAAAGCGCCGCCGTTTAGCAAAGCGGATCGCTTAAGAAACGCGGGCCACTCAAACCCCTTTGGGCTGATCGCGCTAAGTGCCTCGGCTTCGTGGTTTCCGGGGACGACCATCCAGGGGTGTGTGCTGGCGTCTGGTTCAATCAGAGACTGCCACCTGTCCCACACGGATTGGAAGCCGTTGGCATAGGAAAGATCGCCAGGGACGAGGGTGAGGGAGTGGGGCTGCTGGGAGAGACGCGTGATGGTTGTGCGGGCTGCCTTAGAGAGACCAATGTCACCTGGAAGGGATGCAAGCAATGAGAGGGGGAAGGCAGAGTAAGGGAAGTCGTTGGTGTAGGAGAGGTCTCCTGGGACGAGGGTGAGGGTGGGGCTGCTGGGCGAGTCGGGTGATGGCTGTGCAAGCTTCTTTAGAGAGAGCAATGTCACCTGGAAGGGATGCAAGGTGGGAGAGTGGAGGAATGCAGAGGAGTGAAGAGGAGGGTGAGGGAGTGGGGCTGCTGGGGAGACGGATGATGGTTGTGCGTGCTGCCTTGGACAGGCCAATGTCACCTGGAAGGAGAGAAAACACCGTAAGGGAGAGGAATGGGAAGGAGGAAGAGGATGAACAAACGCTGATGCCACCACCCATCAACAACAACAGCAATGCTGACTTCAACATCCCTTATTCTCCAACCATCCTAACCGCACTGCACCTGAGGTCCTGACTCTAGAGGTGGGTGGCATCACAACCCACCCAACCCCACCCACTCCCACCCACTCCCACCCGCTCCCGCCAACTGCCACACCAGCTCTCACCAACAACAGCGATGCTGACATCAGCAGCGGCATCGGTGGGCGGCGTCACAAAGGACCGCTCTGGTCCCTCCCCTGCGATGCGGTAGTAGTAGGTGGATTGGGGTTGCAGGCCCGAAAGCACTACGCTGTGCAGCTGGTCCGACCTACACATGAGATGAGATGGGCCAAGGGGAAGACGGAGGTTGGGATGTGAGGGTAGGGGAGGGGAGTACGAAGGACCGTTGCGGCCCCTCCCCAGCGATGCGGTAGTAGTAGGTGGATTGGGGTTGGAGAATCGATAGCACTGCACTGCGCAGCTGGTCCGATCTGCACAGGTGTTGGGATGGGGGAGGGGGACAAGAGAGGGAGGAATGTGAGGGGAAAGGAAGGGATTACCCGTAAGAGCTTTAGGGCCCTTCCTTTTGAGGTGAGAATGGTAGGTGGTTCCGAGAGCACTGCACTGTGCAGCTAATGGAACCTGCACAGGTGGTGGGATGGGGAAAAGGAAAAGATGGAGGGAGGAATGGGAAGGGGGGGAGAGGGAGGAACGGGAGGGGAGGGGAAATAATGAAGGGAGAATATTACAAGGGATCGTTGCGATCGGTGGTGTCTCTCCCGTGATAAAAGTTGCATTTTGAGACGTCTCAAAATGCAACTTTTATCACGAGGGATCGTTGCGATCAGTGGTGTCTCTCCCGCAAATCGATAGCAATAACAGGTGGTGGCTAGTGGAGGGTTGGAACGTGAAGCAAGAAAAGGTGACTCTGGTACGAAACGCATTCATGGGACGGCAAAGGGTTGACCAGGACTGGAGCACGAAAAAAGAGAAGTAAGGTGTATGAGCGAAGCAAGCAATGGGAAAGACAAGGAATAACATTTCTATTTGTGTACTTACGAATAGGTCAGGAAGGTGTAGCTGGAAGACTTCCCCTTGGCCTTATTGGTGTATTGCCCAGAAGTTACCCCGAATTCCACCAATGACGGCGTACCGCGGCGGGACGTTGACCACATGACTCTGATGCTGTTGGGACCGGCTAGAGCTATGTGCACCTAGAGAATGGGCGAGAGAAGAGAGGAGTAGGGAAGCGATAGAAACCAAATGGAGCATAGGGACGTGATAAGAGTTTGACTGACTCTGATGCTGTTGCGGCCGGCTAGAGCTATGTGCACCTGGGGAATGGGCGAGACAAGAGCGGCACAGGGAGACAGAAACGGGATTGAGAGTAGCGATGTGGTAAGAATTGACCGCATGACTCTGATGCTGTTAAAGAAGGCTAGGGCTATGTGACCCAAGGGAATGGGCGAGTCAAGAGCGGCACAGGGAAGAGACAGATATGCAAGATGTGATGTGGTAAGGGATTGACCTGACCACACGACTCTGATGCTGTCGCGAGAAGTTGTTTGGCTGGTTTCGGAATGCGCTGAGCACAAATGCACATGTGGAGCCATGAAACACAGAGGGTTCCTGGAGAATTTAGTCTCGGGACTGCAAGCCCACCTGTCTGTCACCCACCTGTTTTGCCTTCTTAGACCCAGCCCACCAGCGGAACAGTGATCGCCTCTTCCCGATCCGCTCAGAATCATCCTCCGTCTCTGAACCTGAAGCACGCATACCATCGACGCGTGCGTCTTTTCCGCCTACTACGTTGGGATCCGACAGGGAGATATTGTGTGCTTGGCCGCCGGTGGCATATGCAAGCGAGCTTAAGAGATTTGTACAGAGGGAGAGTGAAACGAGGAGGAGAAGCTGGGTGAACAGAGCTGAGGACGAGGTTCGGCCCGAGCCTCGTCCGAAGGCTTGGCACCTCGTTCCGCGAGCATGGTACTTGGGGTGTTGCGCTGGTGAGAGGCTAGTAGATAGTGTGACTGTACAGAGCCCAGCAAGCGTCACGCGAAGCACTGAATCTGGACGCATTGTGAGATATGCACGGGTTCTACGGGTCAAGCTACAAGCAAGAAACGGAAGGAACTAGATGCTGCAGGGTCTGCAGCTGACGCTAGTGTAGCGCAATTATTAGTTGAAAGGATTTAGTGGAGCGCTTTGAACGAATATTTCGAAAAGCTGTGGAACCAGTGATACGGGAGACGGTCGTCTTTTAATGCTCAACGTTCGTCTGGCGCTTTTGTCAAGCGAAGGGAAAAGTGTCGAGCAGTTTTGGGGTTGCGGACGTTGGAAACTGAGGGATAACTCAGCTGCAGCCTACTGGAATGAAAACTATGCGTGGCCTCGGTCCTCGGTTTATAGATCATGCTGTGTAAACAAATTAAGCAGGCTTTTGCGCGTCGCACTCAGAGTTTAAGGCTCACGGTCCTCGGAAGATCAAATCGACGAGGATACGAAAGCAACGCGCGGCTCCAAAAATGGTTTTATGTTCGCTCAGGGAGCCTAGAGCGCAGGTGGTCTCTCGGTGACTTCGATTGGTCACACACACCCGCCTCGCATCCAGTGTGGTTCATGGAGGGAGGGATAATGGAGAAACGAGAAATGTCTTGGGCTTGACTATCTCACCGTTTTCGGTGGGAGGCTGGCGGTGGGGTTGATCGTGCGAACGTTTCGTAGATGCGAAGTTTCGCCTCTGGTGTGATGGACGGTAATGGAAGGGGTTCCTGTAAGGCGAAACAAAATCCGAGACTGCGAGTAACTAGGGAGCTTTTATTTCGTCAACGCATCGCCAATCGTTTGTCGCTACTCCCCTGATGTGGTTTAAGAGTTTTAGTAGGATTCAGTGCGGTGAAGTTGATCCTGGCAAGCAGGGGCTCAACACGTTCCAGATGTGACATGAGAAGTAGCCAATCAAGCTTATACCAGAGATGCCACGCAGAAGCAAATTCCCAAACATTTTCTAATCGTTCCCCTTGGAAAAGAGCCTGCCGAGCTACCTAGATTCTGATCAATCCAGCTGCTTCAGGAGTTCCTTCCACGTCACGTCAGATTGAGCTCACAATGGAGACGGCAACCGAAGTCCTTCTGGAAGAAGTTACAAGAGGAGCGATGCGATTAGCGATTCGGTTTGACGAAATTAGGCTGGATTTAGAGGACGAAGAAAATGAGCAGAGGGTAAGGATCAATGAGAGAGTGGGAAGTGTGGAGGCAGCGATGGAAGGTTTGAGGGAGAGAGTGGTCGCTTTGGAAGCAATAAATAGGGCCAGTAGAAGTAGCATTAATGAGCGGGTGCTTAAGTTAGCTTGTGATACGGGTAAGCAGGAGAAGGATAAGGAAATAGCTGATCTGAAGGCACGATATTTGGAGGCAGAAGCGAAGAAGAAAAAAGAGTTGGCTGCTTTGACAACACGAGTATCGCAGGCAGAGACAGTTCAGAGGAAAGAGATGGCTGCACTGGCAGCACGGATTTCGCAGGTAGAAACAGAGAAGGAAAAGGAGGTCACGGCACTGAGAGCACGATTATCGGAGGTAGAGACAGCGCTGGTACAGCAGAAGCGAGAAGTGATTCAGATTTGGGAGGTGAGAAATGCTGGTACTGTATACGAGTTTATCTGCTCAATCTCAGTACCTAATACTTCTTTTTAGTTTCATTTCAGGCTATTACATTGGCTTCTTGTCAGCAAACTACCGATGCGAATAAAAAGATCATACGTGCCACGGATACTACCAAAGTGGAACTCAGTAACCTTGAACCCTTATCTGCCATTGGCAGTTATCGCCTCGCCTGCATGACATCCCTGAAGAGCCTCAGCATTTGCGGATCTGTCAATGAAGCCGCCTTAAAATACCTTCCATCAATGCCCTGGTTGGAGGAGCTGAAGTTACAATCAACCAAAGTTGATGATTCTGTGATTTTGGGAATCAGCCATTTGCTGAATCTGCATCGGCTGAATTTGATTGAGACTGCAGTTACAGAAGTTGGGCTCGGACATTTGACATCTCTAATCTCCCTTGAAGACCTCTTCTTCTCTCGCAGCTATAACTGCTCGTGTTCCTATGACAGTCTTACTTTCTCCTTTGCAGGACTTGCGAATCTAGGGAAGCTGACATGGCTTCAAACGTTGGATCTTGGGAATTCGTTGGTGTCAGATGGCGCACTGCCACATCTTCGGCCTTTGACGAAACTCTCTTGGCTCTGCCTCCCAGAGTACATCACTGAACAGGGACTCCAGCATCTGACATGCTTCCGGAATCTCAAGACTATCTATTTAAAATCACCGTTTGGTGACTACGGCATTGCGTATTTGAGGGCTCTTCCCAGCCTGGAAGATGTTGGGCTTGCAGATTATTGGATGGTAGACAGAGTGAAGCCGGCTCTTCCTGGAAGGGATGTTTTCTACTTCAAGAAATGATCTATCTAGGTTGGCCCGTGTGTTTCAGGCGAATGCTCCCTGCTTCTAACTGCTCATTTGCTATTTAATGGGCTTTGTTGTGTACAACAAACATTCGCAGCTATTTTCCTTTCTTTCTGCAGACCATGGTAATAACAGTACCAAATAAGGATTAATAATAAAGTTGGATATTTACCACGGACCACAATGTCAAAACAGTGGTCTTATACAATGTCGCGGCGCCCCCTGCAGTAGCTGCCTTGGAGCCCCGCCCTGCAACAGCTGCCGCGGAGCCCCCTGCCGCCGTCGCGGCCCCGCCCTGCTAGAGCTGCCGAGGAGCCGCCTGCAGTAGTCGCGGCCCTGCCTTGCAGCAGGTGCCGCAGAGCCCCCTGCCGCTGTCGCGTCCCCGCCCTGCAGCTGTCCCAGCCCCACCGTCGCCGCTGTCGTGCGCCTACCCTGCTCGCCCGACGAGCGACTGCCCTTCCCGCCACTGGTGAGCACTTGCCCTACCCGTGCTTCCCGCGCGCCTGCCTTACTAGCGCGCTGCCGCGCTGGCCTGCCTGCCTACCTGCCGCGCCTGCTTGCCAGCCGAGCCGCGCCGCCCAGCTGAGCCGAGCCGCCTTGCGGCGCCGAGCCGCCCAACCGAGCCGTGTCGTGCTGCCGGGCTGTGCCGCCCTGCTCTACTGAGCCACACTACCCTGCCCGTGCTGCTACTGCTGTTTCTGCTACTATTGCTGCTGCTATTGCTACTACCGCTACTGCTTCTCCTGGCGGTGGCCAGATGCAGCTCCAGCGATGTCCGAGTGAGTCCCTCACGCCCCAGCAGCTTCGTGAGTGGTACGCTAGTTGGAGTTGTAGGGGTGGCCACGCTGCTACAGCTGCTACTGCTGTTACTGCTGCTACTGCTGCTACTGATGCTACTGCTGCTACAGCTGTTACTACTGCTACTACGGCTACTACTGCTACTAGTGCTCCTAGCGGTGGCCAGATGTAGCTCCAGCAACGTCCGCGTGAGTCCCTCACACCCCAGCAGCTTCGTGAGTGGTACGCTAGTTGGGGTTGTACGGGTGGCCGTGGTGGGAGTCGCCCTGAGGCGGGTCGTTCGGGAGCTTCTTGTAGTGACCTGGTGCAGCTGGAGTAGCGTCCGCGCGCGGTCCTTTCGCCCCAGCAGCTTCGTGAGTGGTACGCTCAGAGTAGAGGGTCACGGAGTACTGCTCGCTGCCCGTACGTCATTCGCACTAGTGCTCGGGCTGGTCAGCCTTGCGGGACAGTTGGTCGCACACAGTCCCGCTGCTTCGCCAGTCTGAGCGACGCCTGGCGTACAGAGTATGGCGACGACGCTGAGCTCCCCTCCTGGCTGGAGTTGCTTAGGCAGAGGGTAGATATCTTTGCTCTTGACTATGATGCTATCCTCACTGCCATGTATGCATTGCCTACTAGTGCTGAGGGTTCCTGTTGCCTGTGTGTGCCCCTTGACCCAGGTATAGAGTCTGCTGGTCTAGGTGCTGGTGAGGCTGCTGCTCTAGGTGCTGGTGCGTCTCCTGCTCCAGGTGCCGGTGAGGCTGCTGCTCTAGGCGCTAGTAAGTCCACTACTCTAGGTGCTGGTAAGTCAGCTCTCTCTGGTACTGCACCAGCTGCGGCCTTGCACACTTTCACCATTGACTTGGGTGCTTCCCGCTCCTTCTTCCGCGACTGCACCACTCTCGCCGCTCAGTCGGCCGGTGGCAGTCTCTATGGCTGACCCCTCTGGGTGTCCGGTCCTTGCACACTCCTCCACGGTTCTGCCGTGTTCGGCGGTCCCGTCTGGCTCTCTGTCTGACCTCCACCTCCCCTCGTTCTCCACGAACTTGGTGAGTGGAGCTGACCTTCAGGACACATGGGTTGACCAGTTCACTCCTAGAGGTCAGCGGGTGACCCACTGTTCGTGTACTCGGACGGGCCGGCACCTGGCGGGTTGAGCCCGTACACCCTGACTACCGTGTCTCCTCCGGTCGCTGACTTTGGTCACGTAGCCGCGTCGGGTCAGGTGTTTGCTGCAGCGTCTCGATCTGGTCCTGAGTCTGCCCCCTGCTCGTGTCGCCTCCTGTCTCACCAGACTCTCCTCTCGCACCACCACCTTGGTCACCCCTCCCTGCCTCGTCTTCGAGGCATGGCCTCTTGTGTCCTTGTCTCTGGTCTTCCCCAGTCTCTCCCTCCCCTTCCCCCGCGGCCTGCCCCTACATGCGTTCCTTTCGTCGAGGGGCGGCAGCGCGCCGCTCCTCACTCCTCCGAGTTCCCTTCGACGGAGGCTCCCCTGCAGACTCTTCATATGGCCGTGTGGGGCCCCGCCCGCGTCCG